AAATGCTTTATGCACTGGCCGGGGGCGCTAGTCTCTATACTACCTTCCCCGAGTGTGGGACTCCCACCGAAGCGTGTTGGGCTACCCACTAAAACCCAAACTCCCACCGCCCGCGCAAGAATCCCGCATCTGGCACCGCAATTCTGCATGTCTTCAGATGCAGGAGCGCGCTGTTAGAGCCTTGGGGCTGCTCTTTTGTAGGGGCGTTTCATTCGGGTGTCCTCAGTAGACAACCGTCCTCTCGTTTGCAGCGGAGTACGAATTTCACGTATCTCGCAACTGCTTCCCACTTTTCTACGCTGGAGATCAACTATGTTGCTCGGAGTTATGTCTCCGTGTCTTTCTTCCAACATTCTGCGCGAAATCAAGAAGTGTTCGCAGGTGTGGTGTACGTTATGTGTGGTGTGGTACACGTTATCTTCGACGTTTCCACAGTAGTGACAGAACGGTGAATCCACCCTTCCCATTCTATGAAGATATTCTCGGAAGTAACCATGACCGGTGAGGAATTGCATCAGGTAGAAATAGACTTCCCCGTGTGGTCTGTTCAGCCATGTTTGAAGGTCGGCTATCAGGGAGTGCGTCCATCGACCTTTTGTGCTCGCGTTCCAGTGTTTTTGCCACTGCTGGATCAGTTGCTCGCGCGCCCTTGCCGCGGCAGCTGCTCGACCTATCTCGGCACTGAGATTGTAAATCTCTTTTCGCTCGTAAGCAAGTAGCTCAATTGGCATGATGCCAGAAATAACTAGAACCGCGTCCGCGGACACTGTACGGTATGCAGAAGCAATGCGTAGTGCCCCTCTGCGCTGTACCGAAGACATTTGAATCCGGTATTTTTTGACTTTAAATGCGTCAGCCCATATTTCTGCCCCGTACAGGAGCACCGATTGGACCGCTGTCATCAGAAGCTTCCTGCGGCATGGCTTCGGGCCGCCTACGTTCGCCATCAGCCGGCTTAGAGCCGCCGTGCTCTGCGCAGCTTTTTCACATACTCCACGGATGTGTTCCCAGAATGTGAGTTTGCTATCAAGCTTCACCCCTAGGTATTTTGTAGACCTAGAAGTCGTCACGAGTTGAGGTCCGACCATCATATTTATAATTGTTGGGATCCGTTTCCTGGTGAGGAGCACGATCTCCGTTTTGGCTGTAGCCA